GTGACGCCAAGGGCAATAAAGTGAGACTCTATCTCTACAAAAAAAAAAAAAAACAAACAAAAAACCAGAAGCAGAAACAGAAATAGAGGTCTGATAAGGAGAAAAAGACGAGAGAAGAAAAAAAGGGAGACTTCAAGGAAAAGTCAGATATAGGGAGGGTCAATGGAGCACAGGGTTTCTGAGGAAGAAGCAGGGAAGGGAGGAGCAGTAAGGAGGGGGCAGAAAAGAGGATAACAGGGGCCAATGAAAAGTTTTCATAAATCACAATTTGGATCCAGGAGCAGAGCAACCAGAAGATGGAAATGGGAAGTGTTCCTGTGTTATGTGTTTTACAAAAGATGTGCCAGAAGACCCAGAAGCAAGGACAGCAACTGGCCAACCACGAGGCTCAAGGGGTAAGGCTGCCCCAGGGCCCGGGCTGGGATGGCTCAGTGCACCTGGGGTACAGGGGAGACAGGTTCATTCCACCCCAGAATCCTGTCTCTGCTCTCTGACTGAGCCTTTTGGAACCACAGGGAGACAGGAAATCATGGTAGTCATGTTTAATGGGATGGGCTTTGTTCGTTAGACATAGATGAGGCAGCAGAAATGCACTATTATCTGGTTTACTATACTTGTATTTTAAGCCACATTTCAGTCTTCCACAGAACCCAAGATAGCCCCAAGATAGTGAACTTCTGTTGATAGATAATAGTGTCACTTTACCACAACCTTAGAAAGTCCTCACTCAAAAGACGACTGGTCCCGCTTCTTACATGGTAGGAGGGAAGACTTTAGATCTATCATTCTTATCGCAGCACATACTTTTGATGGAAGTATTCCAGCCTATCACGGGTTTACATAGTGATTTCCTATAAAATTTTGCATATAAATAAAATCTAAGCTGCCCCCAAATGGTAAGACTAAAGCAGGATAGAACAACTGTTTCTCTTCCTGAAAAAAACTGAAGTACATAGATTTGGAAAAGTATTTTTCAGAGTCTCAATGAGAAAAACAGGAAGACCCAGGGCCCCTCTGAGAGTACAAATCTACTTCTCAGGTCCGTAGATTTATAGTTCCTTTATGAGGAGGAGAGGAATGGTTATGAAAACACCTTTATAAATTTAAACCTTCTGTAATATAAATTGTCCTAAGATTTGTAACTTTTATTGATTAATTTCTGTTTCCTTACTATCACCTGTTATTTTCTAGATACTGTGATTACCGGAAATAACTCTACTTTGGGACAACCCAGGAGGAAAAGAAGTAAGGATAAATAATAATTTACTTTCTTTTGATGTTATACAAATA